GAAGTGTTATATATGTTAGATCTTTGTAGTTCCAACTTGTTTTTATGGTTTTCTTGAACCGTTGCTGGCATGAAAATGCAATAAATTTCTAAAGTTGGTGGTGTGTTTTCTGGCTAAGCGTTTGCAATTGGTTTTTCTTTAGTGAAATGCATGGGCATTTGCTTACTCCCAAGTAGTGCTTTTAAAATAAACAAGTCCGGCTTAGCTCGTTAAGGCTCGAGTTTGGCTTGTCTTGTTTGATAAACGAGTCGAGCTTGAGCTCATTTAAGGCTAGGCTTGCTCGGCTCGATAAGGCTCGAAAAGAGATTTTTTTTATATAATTTTTTATAGTTCGACTCGTAAAAGCTCGAGATCGGCTCGAACTCGGCTCGTTTACAGGCGTACTCCCAAGTGATTCGATTCGTTTACAATGGGAAAGTCAATTTTTGTGGCTACACTTTGCAAGATTTGCATGTATTAGGTAAATTAATGGCTAAATTATTCCAACAATTAAACAATATTTTAGCTAGTGACATACTGGCCATGAAGTGATGAAGAGGTATGTATTAGGTAAATTAATGGCTAAATTATTCAAGTTTTTCTGTAATCAAGTTAATTATTGGCCTAGTGAAATTGATGGAAAATGTGTAAATGATTATTGTTAAACAATGCGAGTGGTGATTTAAAAAATAAAAAATAAAAAATTACTACAGTATGTAATATACTTCTGTTTTTAATATAAAATATTTCCAATTAAATTTGAATTTGTAAAAATATTCTAGTATTTGCATTCACATTCGCATTCCATTTACTAAATAATCAAATTTGTGATTTGTTAAAATATTTAAATATTTGTTTTTGCATCTGATTTACTAAGGTTGTGTTTGGTAGACCAATAAGCTAGCTTATAAGTTCTCTGTATTCAAATAAGTCCCATTTGCTAGGACGAGCTTATGTACAAGCTCGAGTTTATTTGATAATCTTCTTTGGGTAGCTTTTCAAATAAGCCCGTTGAATTTTTTATTTCAGCTAGCTTATCAGCTAATTTTATCAAACATTTTCATCATATAAGCTACCATTTAAGCTATAGATCATAAGTTATAAGCTCGAAAATTACTGATAAGATATAAGCTAGTTTATTGGTTAATTTTATCAAGGCTATGTTTGGTAAACCAAATAAGCTAGCTTATAGCTTATTTGGTTAGCTTATAAGCTTCCTGTATTCAAATAACCCCCTTTTGGTAGGACGAGCTTATTTAAAAAGCTCGAGCTTATTTGATAAGCTTGTTTAGGTAGCTTTTCAAATAAGCTAGTTGAATTTTTTCATTCCAGCTAGCTTATCAGCTAATTTTACCAAACACTTTTATCATATAAGCTAGCTTTTCAGCTATAAGCTATAAGCTATAAGCTATAAGATCGAAAAGCTAGCTTATATGATAAAAGATGTTTGGTAAATTAGCTGATAAGCTAGCTGAAATAAAAAAATTCAACTAGCTTATTTGAAAAGCTACCTAAAGTAGCTTATGAAATAAGCTCGAGCTTTTTGAAAAAGCTCGTCCTACCAAACGAGGCTTATTTTAAACAGGGAGCTTATAAGCTAACCAAATAAGCTATAAGCTAGCTTATTTGGCTTACCAAACATACCCATAAGCTATAAGCTAGCTTATCAGCTATCAGCTAACTTATCAGCTAGTTTTACCAAACATAGCCCAAACATAGCCTAAATAACCAAATTTGTGATTCATATAGTTAAGCTAATCGAATATATGGAAATCAAATTTTATCTATAAGCAACTAAGCACACAAATACATTTATATATAAATACAGTAATTCTCCCATACCCACGGTGGACACATGCTAATATGTCCACCGTGGATGTGGCGTGCACACATTGGTGATTTTAATATGTTCAAAAAAATACATCACCAATGTGTGAATGCCACATCTACGGTGGGCATATTAACATGTGCCCACCGTGAGTAGGGGAGCATTACTCTATATAAATATACCTCATACATAGATATACTTTTGTATATAAATATATAATTTGTATATTTATTTATATGTTTATAAATAATATATTATTAATAATTTATATTTAATACATATTAATCATTTATATTTAAATATATTTATATTTAATATGTAAAACAAGTATGCAGCCACGATTCCATCTAGGTTCAATCCCCACACACCCACACTACCATCTACGTTCAATCGCTGTCAATTCCATTTTCAAATTTTGATCAACTATCTATCGGCTCATATGCTCCGTCAAAAGTCATATACTATTATCTAATCTATTATTTCAATTTTGTCCTCTTATTTATTATATCCAAAAAATACACTCAAAATATCTATCTTCCCAAAAAGTCTACCCACGAATGAAAGCGCGCAACGTGGCCCAATAAGAGCCCACCATAGGAAAACGCTGCCAATATTAGAGCATCCACAATGCTTTGGGTCTCTTTTTGCATATGTGGCAAATAAATAGACTTAAGTCCATAATGACATGGACAAACCAAAACTAAAAAAACCAAAATCTATCCAATGCAAAACAAAAAAGTACTAGGTCTAGAATACATGACAACCAATAAAAATGCTCTAGTATATTTTATTTATTAAAAGAAAAATTAAATGAGGAATAAATGATGAGTGCTTGGGTTTGTACTTGGGTCTAAAATAGACCCAAGTGTGGACTAGGTCTCATTTTTTTATTGCCACATAAGCTAGATTAGGTCCACTTTTAATTGCATTGGAGAACACTTTTTTATAGACTAGGTCTATTTCTTACATGGCATGTAACTTTTTTCTAAGAAACCCAAAGCATTGTGGGTGCTCTTATTGGACTCTTTTCAGCTAATCGGAAAAACCAATTTCGCCTGGAAAAAATGAAGCTTCCGCCAAACACGGCCTTCTTCTCTCTCTCACTCCTCCTCCTCCTCCTCCTCCTCCCGTCCGCCTACACCTCTGGCGATCAGGAGACCTTCATCGTCCACGTGTCCAACTCCCACAAGCCGTCGGCCTTCTCCAACCACCACCACTGGTACACCAGCATCATCCAATCCCTCCCCCCGCACCGCCGCCGGGCGGATATCCTCTATACCTACGACCGCGCCGTGCGCGGCTTCTCGGCCCGCCTCTCCGCCGCTCAGGCCGCCGCCCTCAGCCGCGTCCCCGGCGTCGTCTCCGTCGTCCCCGACGCGGTCCGCTACCCCCACACCACCCGCACCCCCAAATTCCTAGGCCTCGCGGACACGTTCGGCCTCTGGCCGAACTCCGACTACGCCGATGACGTCATCGTCGGTGTCCTCGACACCGGAATCTGGCCGGAGCTTCCGAGCTTCTCCGACGAAGGCCTCTCCCCCGTCCCTTCTCACTGGAAGGGGAGCTGCGTCGACGCCCCCGATTTTCCCGCGACCCTCTGCAACCGGAAAATCATCGGGGCAAAAGCGTTCTATTTAGGATACGAAGCTTCGCGAGGCAAAACGATGGAGGAATCGAACGAATCTAGATCTCCAAGGGATACGGAAGGCCACGGCTCGCACACGTCGTCGACCGCCGCCGGATCTAGAGTGACGAACGCCAGCTTGTTCGGATACGCAAAAGGAGAAGCCAGAGGCATGGCGACCAAAGCCAGGATCGCTGTGTACAAAATCTGCTGGACCTTCGGGTGCTACGATTCCGATATACTGGCGGCGATGGAGCACGCGATTGACGACGGCGTGAACGTGATTTCTCTCTCAGTCGGTGCAAACGGCTACGCCCCTCAGTACGACTACGATTCTATCGCAATCGGAGCTTTTGGCGCAACTGAGCACGGGATAGTGGTGTCGTGCTCTGCAGGAAATTCTGGACCCGATCCGTACACGGCGGTCAACATCGCACCATGGATCTTGACCGTCGGGGCCTCAACCCTCGACCGTGAGTTCCCAGCCGACGTAATACTCGGAGACGGACGTACGTTCGGCGGCGTCTCCCTCTACTCCGGCGAACCACTCGGGGACAAACCGCTTCCATTGGTTTACGCTGCTGACTGTGGGAGCCAGTACTGCTACTCCGGCAGCCTCAATCCGGCGAAAGTCGCCGGAAAAATCGTTATCTGCGACAGAGGCGTCAACGCCAGGGTGGAGAAAGGCAGCGCCGTCCACCTCGCAGGAGGTGCGGGCATGATAATGGCCAACCTGGCAGACAGCGGCGAAGAGCTCCTGGCCGACGCTCACTTTATTCCGGCCACCATGGTTGGGGCAACTGCCGGAGACAAAATACGAGCCTACGCACGCTGGGATCCGAACCCAACCGCGACCATCATTTTCCGGGGGACAGTCATCGGGCAAAGCCCACCAGCCCCAAGCGTGGCTTCTTTCTCGAGCCGCGGTCCCAGCTACCGAACCGCCGAAATTCTCAAACCAGACGTGATTGCCCCTGGTGTCAACATTCTAGCCGGCTGGACGGGCTACGTTGGGCCAACCGACCTAGATTCCGACACTCGGAAAGTCGAGTTCAACATAATATCCGGCACGTCCATGTCGTGTCCCCACGTGAGTGGCTTGGCCGCCCTTCTCCGAAAAGCCCACCCGGAATGGTCTCCGGCCGTCATCAAGTCGGCCCTCATGACAACCGCTTACAACCTAGACGACAACGGTTGTAACATCACAGACCTTGCCACCGGAACCGAGTCGAACCCGTTCGTTCACGGCTCGGGCCATGTCGACCCAAACAAAGCCCTCGACCCGGGTCTGGTTTACGATATCGGGACCATCGATTACGTTGCATTTCTTTGCACGATCGGCTATAATCCGAAAAGGATCTCGGTTTTCACGAGCGCCTCCGTGGATTGCGATGAGTTAGTGTTTAAAACTCCGGGGAATCTTAACTACCCGTCCTTTTCGGTCGTCTTTGCGAGCGGTGTTGGCGTGGTGAAGTACAAGAGGACGGTGAAAAATGTCGGGAAGGAGACGAACGCAGTATACCGGGCAAAGGTGGAGGCTCCTCCGGGAGTGGAGGTGATTGTGTATCCGGTTGAGTTGGGTTTTAGTGAGAAAGAGAATGAGTTGTCTTACGAGGTTGCATTCAAGAGCAGTGTGAGTTTGAATGATTTTGGAATGGGAATTGTGGGTGGGGTTAGGACATCGTTCGGGTCCATCGAATGGAGTGATGGCGGTGGCCACCGAGTGAGGAGTCCCGTGGCGGTGGCTTGGCAGTTGGGCTCGACGGCCACAATGTGAAGTTTAGTGTGGGAAGAATCGGAAAAAAGGAGTTCGATTGTTTGTTTACGAGGTAAAGAAGGGAAGGGATGTTCGTTCGGGGTAGTTTTCGTTGTTTGCATAAGTGTAGTTCATCTATATGTTTGTGGGAAATAAGGATGTAAATTATTAAGATGCAGCAAGGAGATAAAGAAAGCAGTGTACATATTGTTACCTCTTTTATTGCAATGCAGTTTATTATTGTCATCTCTTTTCATTGAATTCGTTTTTATTTTCAGGCTACGGCCGTTCTATCTAAAGTTGATTTGCAAGATGAGATTAATCGCTTCAGAAATTAGGTGCTTAAAGATTTGTTTTATAAATGCATCACTTTCAGGCCTTTCCTTTGATACCCCCCAGGCATTGAAGTCAATTTTGAATCTCAGGACCCGAAAATCTTCCAAACTCACCTGTTCAGTCTGGAGGTAGCATGAGTTAAACCCCGAAGCCGAGCCGAGTTTCTCGACTACGGACGAGTCTGTGTCTGGTGTTAGGGAAGACATAAGCATCGAGAACTTGAATCCGTTGTGGCCCTGTTGTAGGATAGCCTTAAAAGACTTTGAAACCATTGAAAGTCTCAATGCGTTCCTTATCGGCGCTGGTCATGAAGTGCGCCCAAACTGCGGGAACTTTCTTGTTCGGGATAAAGAAAAATTGTGGTCTCTCACTCGGATAATTCAACCCAAACTCCTTTGAAGTACAACGCGTTTGCCGTGATGCGTTCTCAGTCGGGCTCAACCGAGCCCGATGGGAGTAAGTTTCCGATTAGGCCCTTTGTTCCCTTACCCATGCAACTCAACTCTTTTCTTACCTCCTCTGCATCTGTCAGATTTTCGTGCAAAACAGATCCAAGAATTAATGGGGAAATACTATAGTTCCGTTTCGAAATCATTCCGTCGAGATTTATGACCGTTAGATCGTCATGTAACTGTCGTGAATAGTTAATCTTAACGATTACAAACCCCGACAAAATAGTTTCATAACGAGACCATAGAATCTCCCGAATTAATGTATACGTAGTTTGATTCTTTCCATATATCCGACTAATAAACAAATTCATCCAAACGAAATAATATAAAAAATAAATAAATAAATGTATTTGAAACAAAAAAGTTCAAATCTAAGTTAAAGACGACGATCACACACATTATGCTCCTTTGGACATTGAGAAGAAAACCAAATTATTTCCCATACCTCCTTTAAGAGGCACATAAGAATACTGAAACACACCCTGTTAACGTATCTTTCCCAACAAACAACTCAACTAACCAGCCGCATCTAGTGAAAACTATACCATACCAAATACCAATTGGGATTCATAAATATTAGTACAACACCCTTCACTTAACCAGACCAAACTTCAAGGTGAGAGACTTTTTATAATAAACCCAGATATGATTCGAGCTCGCTTGAAATCCGTCAACGTTTGCCCCCGATGAACCCCATTAGACGCGTGTAATTTACAGAGAGGTACCGCACGTCAAACTTACAGAGGCAAATCGATATTCTCCGACCACTTGAAGATGTCCGAATAAACACGGTCGCCTCCCAAATCCTCCCCCGTGGCACCTGCAGCGACCCTCATGATATCCTCGATCAACGCAAAATTCCCCATTATATCCACGTGGGCCCCACTCTGTGTCCCGCGCCCCTCGAGCAATGTTGCTGGTGGGGCGTGGTCGTACTCCCTCACATGGGTCTTAATCCCCGAGGGGTTGAAACGGGTTTTCCCGCGCCACCCTTTCGCGCACATGAATCCGGCGCTCAAAACGGGCACGGTCTCATCCCCGTCGACAGTGAAAACACCATCATTTAGACACCCGTCCTCGCCTTCTCCTTCGGCAGACGTATCTATCTGAAACGGGATGTAGCAATCGGCGGCCGGGATCTGTTTGTAAACATAAGCTCTCTCGGTTGGGATCCCGACTCCATACATGGAGAAAATTTCCATGCCGGGAGCATTAGGTAGCCTGCGAAAAAAAAAAGGTATTTTGTGTCATCAAACACTTTCTTTCCAAAGAAGGATAATTTGCAAGATTTACCTTTGTAGTTGTAGTTTATGGCTTGGTAAAACTTATAGCTGATGAGCTAGCATATAATTTATAAGTGATTTTCGCGCTTATAGCTTATAGCTTATGACTTATAGCTGAAAAGATAGTTTATGGTTTGTAAAATTAACAGATAAGCTAGTTGAAACAAAAATTTCAACGAACTTAAATGAAAAGCTATCAAAGAAGATTATGAGATATGCTAGAGCTTTTTAAAAAAAGTTTGTCCCCAAACGAAGCTTATTTACATATAGGAAGCTTATAAGCTATAAACTAGCTTATTTGGTTACCAAACATAGCCTATAGCTTAATTTTTCCATTCTAAGATTGAAAAGACATAATGAAGAGTTTAGTGGGCTCTGAGCAATAGGAAACTTTAGCTGTTCTCTTATGTTACAAGCCCAAAGTACACTCGCTCTCCAACTTGTGTTGAGAAGTTCATCGTCAATTTTAAAATGTAGAGAGCATTTACTAATGAAAGTGTCCAAGGGACTGGAAGAAGTTCAATGATTAAACAGACTATCGAATACTCATTCATCTCACCTCGTTTCCAATGGATTTGACCAATATTTATAATGTTCATACTTGGGGTCGTCCAAATCATCAGCTATCCCATACGAAAAGTGAGCACTACCGCGTTGCATCAGTTTAGGGGCAACGTAATTAAGCAGATCCAAAAGATCTCCAGCAGTATAAACTTTGTACTCAGCTACTGCTGTTATGCCACTGATACCCATGTCATGGTATTCTGTCCACACATCACGACAGGTGTTATTTGCAACATTGTTACCTTTCACAGCATCCTGCATAAACAACCGCTCTGTTACAGGTAAACCCCAGTAAAGTTCTACTCACAGCAATAAGGATGCTAAATAATTTGACTACATGAAGCTTAATAGAACAATTTTAGAGCAATTTTAGCTAAAAACTTAAACACGAGGCCTGAGAATGAGTTACGACTCAAGAAAAGACGTATGTACGAAACAAAAATGTTGTCTCCAGACTGAAACATCTCTAATTACTTAATTCTGATTAAATACAAAGGAGATTCGAGTTCTCTTCACTTTGGTGCACAAATTTTGCAAATCAAAATATCGCATAGCTTGGATGCAAAGAAAATCCAGTTTTGACACAACCAAGTCTACTATATTCCAACTTGCAACTATGTTGTCGGCTGGCGTATAAGTGCTATCGTCATTAAAAGATTCCATCTTCAAAATCTAGTACTTTTTAACATTATTTATGCAGTTTCAGTAGGAAGGCCAAGAAGAGGGAGCATACAAATTACCAGAACTGGTGGTCTTATGGTCATTCTGCTGTCACAAATAATTGTATGTAGGGAAACTATTAGGCAATCGATAACTGTGACTACTGATGCAGCATGAAATGAACGATGATGGCGTTATAAATTTCCTAATCTCTGAGCTATGCAAGATTTAAATAGAAACAAATTTATCAACGATTATCATGAAGAAAGTCTAATACCCTAAAATCAATCCGCTGGATCTTAGAAGAATCTGCCTCCGCTGTGTCTTTTCCAAATGATATAATTCTTCCATAATGAACAAGTTTTGCTTCGGATTCAATATTCCCATCTTCAGTATGTACTGAGTTCTCAGTCTTGTTGGTACTTTGCTTTCTTTTACTTGGAACATAGCCTTCTTCGGGTGCCCAGTCAAGATCACCCCAAATGGTATCTCCGCCTTTAGGTATCATTGACATTGTTGAATCCCATGTTCTGGTCATTTTCATTATGTGCTGTAGTGTTTGGATTCTAAACAAATCCTTATCCAGAACACCCGGAGCCATGGCCCTGTCAAGATAATTCAATTAAAAATGGTCATATTACGATCTCACCTTTCATTGAGGCAAATAAATAAATAATAATTAAAATCCAGTATATTATTAAATGCACCTGGCAACAGCAATATCTCTAGCTTCTGCAGAGAAAAGCCCAGAAATAGCTTTCGGAACACCTAGAAAGGGCCCGCCAATGTTCATTACAGCCTTAATATGTTTGGCACACCAATCTGGTCCACCCCCTCCACCCATTGGAGCAGGTGCCTCGACCCACTTCATGAAATGCAAAAAGTACAGAACACCCATGGAATGGGGAATAATTACTGCCTTGTTCCCGCCATTGGTAGCAACCAGAAGTTCAATATTACTTTTTATTCTGCTCAGTGTCTGGTCACGCACCTGACAAAGATAATATACCATCAGAGCAGAAGAACTAAAAGCAATTATCTTATAAGCAAACTCCATATGAACAAAAGCTTAGTTTGTTGTTTGAACATGTACCTCGGTGTTCTGGAATGAAAGCCTCCAATCATATGCAGCCATGTACATGTTTTTCTCTTCATATCCAATCCTTGCGAGATTAGCAATTAGAACAGCCCAGACAAAATATCCTGGAGCAAAGTAATCTGCAGCGACAAGACCAGTGACTGGCCTGACTCTTACACCAGCAGGATCCAAGCCGGTTTCGTTATCCAGTGACATATGATCTACCCAACATAGAGGTCTGCAAGAAATTTGAAGAGGACAACCTCATACACATGATGCAAGAAAAAAACTGCTCTGCAGGTTTCGTCATTTATAGAGTTTAACATAGTATGAAACACAGATAATATAGTTAAAACTGACAGCATAACGAACTCTCAACACTAACAAAATCCATTGGTCAGGAGCAGATTAAATATGAAGCCCTATGGAACATCTTAGTAATATACATGCCCAGGAAATATCCACGCTGAGTAAAGTTGTCAAGTAAAAAAAATAAAAAGAATTATGTTTATCATGATTTTTATTACAGATGATGATATAAAACTTGGGGTATAAGAAGGAATAGTTTGACTTTCACTGCCTTGTTACCTCAGTAGCTTGAATAGCCAGGCATTCTTCATTAGAGGCTCCCCTGTTTACTTTCGCTTAGACTTATCTTATAAGCCTTGCTAGGATAATTCATAAAACCTTGTTATCCTTCTGATGAACAAGCTTTCGTCTGACTAAGTTAGATCGCCTCTTACAAGTGGGTAACGGACCTTCTAAACCATATCTGGTTATCTTCTGAGCCAGCTTAACCCGTAACTTTTAAAGTAAATTATAAGACTACCTCCATGAATCTATTCTATTAGCAGTTAATCAAAGTAAAAAATAGAACAATTAGAAAGATTGTCATCTTTCCCATATGCACTATAATGAAAATTACGTTGTAATTGATAGATCAAATCATCTACATCTCAATAAAACTGTGTTAATATGAAATAAACTCCATACATTCCGTATGTCATTTCTAGAACTGTATGATCTCCCCTAGCCATGAACTAGTTCAGCATAAAAATCACTATCATATCACATTTCATGATGTGGAGAGGTTGGACAGGTGGGTATGGCTTTATCATAGATTGTGTAATTATGTAGCAAGCTAAAAAATAAATAAAACTATAGTCATTTTTTTCCCTAATGCAAATCCAAATAAAAATATCCGAATCTGGTCTTCAGTTGACAGCCTCTTATCCCCAATTAACCAAACACACCTACAAGTCTTTAACTAGAACAAGCTCTAATTTAGGGAGTGATTGTTTCATGGTATTAAAGAGTAAACATTCAAGAGAACACATATTTTCATCAGTCAAGTAATTTGATTGTTCTATCATGGGAAACCAAATTGCCAAGGCTTGAATCCAAATACTGTCAATCCAGCGCTGTACTGACAGCATCATAAAGTGTGAATGAAATCTTACACTTCATTAATCATTATTCCACAAAGCCCGTTAACCTTTAATAACCTCACCAATTCAATTAACTTTTGACCAAATAAAGGAGAAAAATACGTAAATAATCTGAACCAACAAACAAACTGAGCTCACCAAACAAACAAATTAATATGTTTCTTTACTTTTTCCTTTTTTTTTTAATTTCTTTTCTGTACCTCTTGTAAACTTCGCCAAACGTGCCTCCCCAAAGCCTCTTTCTGAAAAGGCCCTCGGCACACTGATGCCCCTCCCACAGCTCGAGCCCTCCGGTCACAATCCCGGGCACGAAAACCACTGGATGCTTAGCCTCTAAGCCCTCTTTCTTCAGCTTCACCCCCGGCGGGTCCGGCATCGGCCCGGTTATCACCTCCGTCACGTACTGCGGGAAGCTAGAAGGCATCATGTTGTACATGAACAAAAGCCCCCACCACACCACGCATATGCACCCGATTAACCAGCAGCAGCTGTCTACACAGGACCACTTGCCGTTCTTCTCCGCCCTCCACGTCTCTGGTTTTTTCTCCTCCGGATCCAACGCCGGAGTCGCCTCCTTCCCTGCTGCCTTCCTCCGCCTCAACAACGACGACATCCGGAATCCCGATCGATACCCACTCGAATTCGCCGGCGCAGCCCGATTAAACGATCGGACTGGATCTCAACGGCGATTTCACGAATCAAATGCGACCGATAAGGGGAAAAAGGTAGACAAGCGCGCACCTTAGCTGCCGGCTGCTGCTTGCGCGTAAGCTTCGGACGGAGGGTATGGAGAAGGAGACGGCGGCGCCGCTGCGGAGATTGGTGGGGCCCGGGAAGGGTATGGTAGCAAAATGTGATAAATATTGTGGATGACGACTTGGCTGAGTTTAACGGTTGAGAAGTAATAAATAGTGGCCGTTCACGTTTTGCGAGCATAAATTTTCTCGTTTTTTTCTAAATCCAGTGATTGGTCGGGTCGAAAATCGGGTTGGGAAATCGGATCCTCTAGAATTAGGACTTCACGCCCAATAATAGTGAAAATCGAATCGAACAAAAATAACACATTGTGGTATGATTATTAAAATAAATAGTTTTATTCTCATCTCCAAAAAGTTGTAATGGTTTACGGTTCCAATTCCAAATATTTAAACCGATTATATATATAGAGTATGCATGAGTTGTTGAGAATCCGGTTCCAAATTGACAATCTAAATAAATTTTGAGATGCATGAACTCATCTTTGACTTTGACTATATGTCTAATTTAAAATTGATTTTTAGGTCAAGTATGGTAAGAGCTAATTGTTGACAACTTGATGATGTCACTCTCCGACATTGGTGAGAAAGAATCGGGCAATGAAAATAATATTGAGCACCAATTAATAATAAGCTTATTAACTTTTGGTGAGACAAAGAGAAGTGGAGATTATCGAAAAACCAATTAAATGAGAAAAGATTCAAAATTAAAGGTCGGCAAGAGTGCGAAAGAGTAGTTCAAATGTACAACAAAGCACTAAAGAAATATATCAATTCGATGAGACATCCTTGGATATAAGGCGGCCGGGAACAATGAACGAGCATAAAGTCGGTGTTTTGAGGGGAGTTTTAAAATATCAATATCTCCTTCATTTAAGCTTGTAGAAGGTTCCAAAATATTAGAGAACGTTCCAAAACTTTGTAGAAGGTTCTGAAAGTATCTAGCACAACCTAAAAAATGTAGGAGGTCCTGGAATATGACGGAAAGACTAAATGAATTAAGAACTTTGGAGAAGGATGTGGAATATTCTAGAACCCAAGAGAAACTTTAAGAGTTGTGTGGAAACTATAAACATTGTAGAAGTTACATGTTATAAAATCATGTGGACAACTATGGAATATCCACATGTATGGAATATTTTAAGGTAGTTGTGGTACTTAGTGAAACAGTAGTTGGTTGTAGAATAGTCAAGAGCAAAAATATTAGGGAAGCCCCATCGATAGCTTCCTACGGATCAAATAAGATCAAATAATCAAACAAAGATGTAAGAGAGTCTAAGTAAGTCCACTTTTGAAAAGGTATATAAGTAGGAGAGGCCCAATCCAAGTAAAAGAGTGGGTGACTGTGAAAAATAAAATAGTTATTAAGGTTTATATTGTTTGTGTAATTATTGAAAGAAACTTAGAAGGAAATAAAATCCGTTTTAAGGTTTAATTTTAGTTATTAGTTGTTATAGGATGAGACCTATTAATTGTTTTAGGATAAATGCGATGTACTCTTCTGTTGGTGAATGTTGTTGAAGTGTACATTGTTGAAATAAACTTAGAAGGAATTAAAATCTCGTTTTTAAAGTTTAATTTTAGCTTTTAAGGTTTAATTTTAGCTATTAGTTGTTGTAGGATGAGTGTGAAGGAAATAAAATATCGTTTTTAAAGTTTAATTTTAGCTTTAATTTTAGCTATTAGTTGTTATAGGATGAGTGTGATCTGTTAGTTGTTGTAGTTGGTTTAGTTGGTGTAGGATAAATGTGATGAATATTGAAGTGTACAAATGCACATTTAAATGTGATTGCTGCTTTTTACAACGATTATCTTAGTGTGTGATAATTCCCATTCATTTAATCTTACTAGTACATCACCCGCGTATTACACTGGTGCTTGTTAAAATTTTATTCTTAAATTTTAAAATATATGCTTTTACCAAAAAAATATATTACTATATATTTTTAGAATGATATGTGTTACTTATGACTTTCATGTTTTATATTATATTAGTTTTTATAACTTATATCATATAACTACTTGAAATATGAGGAAATTCTACGGTCCCGTCACGGTACCATCCCGTCAAGTGTTTTAACCGTTGGATCATCTATCTTATATAACTACATGCGGATCTAACGGTTAAAACACTTGACGGGATGGTACCGTAACGACACCGTAGTATTTCCCTGAAATATGAATATATTAGTTGATAAATAATTTTATTTTTCTAATTAATATTAAAAATAATTTTATTATTGTTATAAAGATAAATATAAATTATTTTTTTATACATACAATATGGATGTTAAATCGAAGCTCATCAAAAGAATATTAATTTGATATATTATATATGTAAAATTGATAAAAAAAAATATAAAAGTTATTAACTTTTAAAATATATATAAAATTCAATAGTTATAATAAGGAATGATATTAAAATGCAATTAATACATAATATGACCATAAATAATCAACATATTTATGGTAATCTAAATCTAATTATTTTTGGTTTGAAATTAAATTAAAATTTACCCAAACTTAATAACGAAACATGTAACTTTGCCACATAGGATTATGAAGCACTAGAAGTAGTCACGTAAGTTTAGCGCGTTCTGGATTAATATATAGGGAAGGTGATAGGGGAGGTGATATTAGTTTAGGCTGTATTTTAAAGCTCTATGAACTTAAGAGTAAGTGAAACCTTAATATAGCTAGCTATGAGAATAGGTATTTAATAAACGTAGTAATAGAAGTTGAATAAAGAATGCATTCATATTCGGTTTGGAAGGTGCTAGTTGTAGGTGGTAGTAGGAGCTGACTGATTAATACCAGTTAGTTTTTTTATCTGTTTTTTAGTAAGCGGTGCTAGTAATAGGTAGTCGTGAAATTTGACTATATGTTTGACTAGAATATTTATAAGTGTTTGAATAAAATAAACATTTTTTCAAATGATTTCATATGAAAACGTCAAAACCAGAATGAAATAAAATCACTCTTTAATCATATAACATAATTAAATAAAATAACTAATGTGTCTATAATATACATTAGATCTTTATTTAGTTATTTGTATTTTGTATTTTTGCCTCTTAGGAACTATATTTTTGTTGGGCTTGTAATATGTTATTTTATTCTTTTATATTAGAACATCCTTATGTTATTTAAAAAAAAAAAAATATTAGAAGCTCATTTGTTCTATATTTTACTTCTTTTTTACAATGATATGTTTAATAAATTAATTAATTTATTATACTAAACTTAACTGGCAAACAACATTCGTCACCACGCGTGTACTTTACTAGTATAGGAAAAAGGTTACAACTTAGTTCTTACATATGATATTGTTCAACTTTGACGTCTACATAAACGCTCCCCTTTTGATTATAGTATCATCAGTTGATATGAATAAAGGTTATGGATTTGAGTCAAAGTCATATGGTGTATAAATGTTACTGTCCATAGCTCGATTAACAAACGAACGAGCTTTTGTGTTTGCGAACGTTCAATCCATTAACAACAGTCGTGCTCGACTAAAAATGGTTTGGGATTAGGGGAATAATGTTTACATTGTTGGAAATGTGATATAAAATAGTGGAATTCTCTTAAAGAGTTCGAGTGATTACAACTTACAAGATGAAAGATGCAAATGTTAATAATATCCAACAAACACCCAGCAGCACAAACGAACACAAAAACCATCAAAACCACCATAAAAACCACATTAGTAATGTGACTTCAACATGTAGTTTCTGGTCTGATCTGAACAGCAAAGAGCAAAAATACCTGCATAGAAGCTGACCAGTGTACTTACACAAAACACCCAGTTCAAAATTAGCCCACCCTCATTTTTACGAGCATTCGTCTTCCCAATCACAACCGAAAAAATCCCTTGTTCTTCGCATCCATCTTTCGTCTCTACACACAAACCGTGATTACCCGCAAACGCTCCTGGGAATCTCGAGTAGCCCTGCCGAGCCATCACAACCCCAGATAAACAATTATACGACATATTCAAGACTGATAAATTTCGAAGGCTCGATATGTTTTCTCTAACGGGACCTGCGAACGAATTGTGCGAAAGGTCCAAGACTTTCAAGCTCAACATCTTCCCCAAACCTACCGGAATTTGCCCGTCGAGAAAATTATACGAGAGGTTTAAGTAGTCGAGACCCTGCAACCCGAAAATCCCACCGGGAATTTCTCCGTGAAGCGAGTTATCCGAAATGTCAATTCCTACTACGGGCGGAAAGTCGTACGTGAATATCAAATTCAACACGTTCTTATCAGCTACTTTTACTGAAACCCGAACGTCTAGATTAGTGAACGAAACCGATGATGCCCGTTGTTTAAAATCGATGCGATTGAAACTCGAGCTAGTGTTGAAATTAGTACCGTTCGGTAAATATCCAGAAAACCCGTTTCCAGATAGATCGATTATTTGGATATCCTGGAAAGCAAACAACCAACCGGGTAAGGATCCATTGAACATATTGTGTGATAGAGAGAGGAATCTGAGCTTCGACCATTTTGTCACGGCATCATTCAAAGTACCCGATAGATAATTAAAGCTCAAATCCACCACCTCTAACGACTTGCACCCTGCCAAAGTGAGAGGAATCTCACCGAAAATCCGATTGTTGCTTAAAGACAATATCTTCAAACTATCTAACGCGTCGAGTTCCGGTGGTATTTCGCCCGAAAGATTGTTATGATTCAAATTCAACGCTAGTAACTGAAAACAACCCACGATATTCAACGGGATCGAGCCCGACAATAAATTGTGCGACAAATCTATGACTTGAAGATATGTTAAGTTTCCAATTCTATCGGGAATCTCGCCCGTTAGACGATTATGGGAAAGAAACAAGGCCTGCAAGTTTTTCAACTCGGTAATGGCTGGTGGGATGTTGCCAGTGAACTGATTGTTGGACAAATCCAAGATTAAAAGGCTCGATTTTTCAGGGGTCCCGATAATATTCTGGGGAAGATTGCCCGACAGACTATTGAAACTCAAGTCCAGGACAATTATTTCTTCTGAAAAAACTAATCTTGGAGAAATCCCATATTGCAAGTCATTGAATGACAAGTTGAGCTGCCTGAGGCCGTGACAGCTAGCAATGCAGGCCGGTATCCCTCCCTCGATCGAGTTGCAGGCCAAGTTAAGCACCGAGAGAGATTCAGACGAGGTTAAAAAACAGGGTAGAGTACCAGATAGCATGTTGAACTCCAAATCAAGATAAACTAAGGCCCCATGAAAATCACCGAGATTTCCTGTTAAGTAATTGTGGGACAAATCTAAGTATTGCAATGACATTGAGTCATACAAGCTATCAGGAATCTCGCCACGTAAATTATTGGACTCAAGATTAAGTTTTTCAAGCCTCGAAGAGAAATTACCAATCCAAGCCGGGATTTCACCGCCAAACGCGTTGTGGCTTAGGTCAAGCACAGCCAGCTGGCTCAGTATCACTAGCGCTTGCGGGATGGAGTCGTTGAAGGCATTGTAACTAAGATCCAAGATTTTAAGGTTTTTTGGCAAGCAAGAAGGAACCGAGCCAAAGAATGCATTGCTCGACAATACAAGCGTTTCTAGATAAGTGAGGTTGCAGAGAGAGGAGTGGAGCGGGCCGGAAAGGCTGAGTCCGGTGAGGTTAAGGGACGTGAGCCGGCCGGTCTGGTTGGAGATGGTGAAGCCGATCCAGCTGGCAGAGCCATTTTCGTCAGTCCAGCTGGACAGATGGTTAAAAGGGTCTTGCAAATGAGACTTAAACTCCAAGATTGCAGCTTTGTCACTTGGGTCGACACTAGTAAAGCCACTACTACTTGTCACATAGTGATAGTTTACTGAAGAAACCGCAAATGATAACAAAGAAAACAACCCAACAAAACATATAATAAGCTCCTCAGTGATTACAAAACCCGGTTTTCTTTGTTTCAGTTTCATGGAAGCCAACTCTTCAACCTGTGCACATCCATTAATGTTAGAGTAAATGCAAGATTCATGAAAGCTAGCATTCAAAATTTTCAATGTAAGTGCACGAATACATCTACAATCATTTTCTTTGGTTCATTCTCAGGATGAATTTCTCTCTTTCTGTACATGAATGCAAGTTTTAATTTAAAAAATTACAGGATCAAATTTAGGGAAAATGCTCTAGTCCCATTACGGTATATCTAGTCCGGAGTTTTAACCATTGGATCATCTATCTTATCTAACTACACGTGGATCAAACGGATAAAACACCCAACAGGATGGTACCGTAACCGGAGCGTACCATTTCCCCAAATTTAGATAACTATAGTATAAATAGTTTTGAAACACACCCAAAGACTGCCTTTTGAAAACAATAAATAAGTTGATAAAGACTTCAACGAATTTATTGCAGATTTCGTCATAACATTTTCTATTTTATTTTTCTCAATATTTTTTTGAACTCAAAACCAAATTGTACAGACCAATCAGAGTCATCCATCGCCAACGGAACAAATATGAGTGCTGTGTTTTTTTTTAATCCAAAAAAAAAATTATCATTTTATCCGAACACAATCATTGAAGCCCAAGTGAAAGGCTGGAAAAAGCAAGATGAATATCACATAAATGAAGTACAACACCTTATCCGCAAGGTACTCCGGCGAACCGGCTCCCATAGACCGAGCGTAACATCCGTTCTTCAGATTCCGGTCAGCTTGGAACTGGCGACCGGCTTCGACGGCCCGGAAAAGCAGCTTCTTTTTCCGACCGGCTCCTTTACTTTTTCCGGCTCTTTTTTTCACTTTGTGGTTGGGTCCATCTCTCGTTGTGTGTGATAGACAGAGAGGGAGTGTGTGTGCGTGTGACAGTGTGTGTGTGTGAGAGAGAGAGAGAGAGAGAGAGAGAGAGAGCAGGGGAGATATGCCATGCCAAAGCACAGGTTTTTATGCTGCTGGTTGGAATCAAGTGGTGAGAGAATTTGGAGCGTCGGATTGGAATATATCGATGGCTGTGAACCAATAAGAGTTTTGTCTTTACAAAAGTGAAGGAGAGAATTCTTTTAATTTTTATTTTAATCAAAAGCAGGTAATTCTTGGTATTGAAATTTTTTGTATATGAAAAAATAAAAAATAAAGTCATTTTAAAAAAAATTTAAAAACCAATAATTTGTTAACTATCACTAGTTTTTCAATCATCAGTTGGTAATTATCAACTATAATCTCAAAATGAATTAACAAATCAGTTATCACTAATTTTTAACTAAATTTATACTATGTTTGATAAGCTACGTAAGTTAAACGATCGCGTATTATGTTAAATTGTAAGCTTATTGTATTGAAATAAATTTGATTTGTTAGAATGAGTTTAAAAAAAAAAAAAAAACTCAAAAGTTGGTCAAGTTTTTCATTTCATATGAGCCATATAATTTTACTAAATTTTTTTTGTTACATTTTGTAAATTTTCAACTATCGGATCACAATTATATTATAAAACATGACTTTACCAACCGTACTCATAAGTTATCAATTTTAAGTTCAACTTTACTAAACATTCATATATACGATAAATGTAGAGTTCTTACGAACCTATTTATCAACTTTCAGTGCTTGTAATTCAGTGTCGTTTATGGCTCAAATTAAGAGCTTGTTTGAAAACAATTTTCAAATGGACTTTTGGATCTAGAAGTTCAACCAGATAAAAACAAATATTTGATGCTAAATTAATAATGGACATAAAAATATTTATTTTTTCCAAAAAGTTCATTGTACGTAAGTAAAGCATAATGGCCTTTTGAAAAGTTCGTCTTGTATGTGACCATTTAAAAATAAATATTTTCAAAGTGCTCTTAAACAAACACTAAAAATAATTTATCGATTAGTTTAGTTGAAAAAAAAAAAAAAAATTGATATGGTTGTTCACCTATATTTTTTAAAGCTCTACCGCAACTGTACGGCTTCGCTCGTAATATGTGGCAAGCAAGGTCGTATCCCAAGAGACCAAATAAATATTTAATCAAGTGCAAGAGTATGATAGTGTCAATTTTATTTAGACAATCGAATATAGGATGTATTAACTAAACTAAGAAAATAAATCAACGCAAATAAAGCAAGAATAAGGAAACAACTAGAAAAACACTTAAGAAGAATATATGAGAATGGTTGATTCTAAGACTATGGATTCAATTAACAATTGAGTTTCTTCAAATATATCACAATTAAATACTTTCTTTATCTACCCTATAAGATGATCACGAAACTAGCCTATCGTCCCTCTCAAGATCGATAAAACCGTAGATTAAATCACATTCACATATATTAGCGTCTCCACTCAACACATGCAATTCAACTCCAAAAAGATTAAAAGACCTAAAATCCTCAAAACTATCTACTAATCTCTCGATTCAAATAAATAAATTGTGTCAAATATTAAAGATCTAATATTGAACTCATCTCTCGAATTATGAACAATATCATCAAACATGTAAAAGCAGTGGCCAATTGCAATTCATGAAATAAGCACAAAATATTTTAATAGGGTTCAAAAGAAAACAATCAACTATGATAAATCATCCAAAATCCCAACATATTAATCTACTACCATGTCTTAGATAGGGATGAAAACGGGACGGGAAAATCCCGTACCGTCCCGCAACCGTTCCCATATTTGACCCGCTCGTTTTCGTATTTCCGGTTTTTTTCCGGAAACGGGACGGATAAAAACGGTAACGGGATGGATAAAAACGGTAACGGGACGAAAACGGTTTGAGGTGTTTCCCGCCCGTTTTTCCGGTTTCTCGTTTTTTAGCGGGAATATCCCGTTTTTATCCCGTTTTTATAAATATGTTAATTAATTATAATATAGAATGTGTAATTCATAGCTAAAAAAAATGGTGCTAGTTATGTAATTCATTCCTTTTTAATAAACATATATATTTATATTGGAATATCAATATATTGTACTTTTTTTAATACTTATTTTTAAAAATATGTCATATTTGCATGAAAGCATGCATAATTTTCTAAATTTAATTTTTATAAGAAATAAATAAATAAAAATTTTAGTACTGACATTGTTATAAAATATAAAATTATTTATCAAATAAAACTTATATTTTATTTGCAAGAAACAGATATTTTATTTGCATAAAATTTTAGTACTGACATTTATAAAAAACATATATTTTATTTGCATCAAAAATAAAATTATTTATCAAATAAATTTTTTTTTGTCATCGTCATACCGCATTTAATTGCCCGTTACCGCCCGCTACCGGTATTATATCCGTTCGTATTAGTTCGTTTCCGTATACCGGGATGTCCCGCATCCGTTCCCGTTCCCGTTCTTTCCCGTTTCCGTTCCCGTTTCCGGTCAAAACATATGGGAACGGAAACGGTTTAAGGGGTTTCCCGCCCGTTCCCGTCCGTTTTCATCCCTAACTAGATTCGACTTTTGAACTGTTTTTCTCGGCTTTTGGTTGTTTTCTAGATGTATGTATGTAGTTTTTCTATGAAATTTCTATCTTTTGGAAAAAAAAAAAAAGAAAAAGAATTGCAACACATCTCACCCGGAACCATATCGATCAAAAAATGTATGAAAATTATGGAATTATTTGATTTTACAGAAGCATGTTTGGAATGGTATTGTTCAATTTATTTTAGTACTCTTTTTATCTTTAGAGTAAACTCAAGCACTATAAGAGACTAAGTACTGCTAATTAATAAAGCAAGTATTATTATTCTATTAAAAAGTACGATTTCACTATAAACTTGTACTACCTTTCAGAACTGAAATGACTATAAGGGTATTGTGGGAATACCAGTGTTCCAGAAGTCGCTAGGCGCTTGACCAATGCCGGCGTCTAGGCAGGGTCTAGAAATCATGATTAAATATTTTTTTTTTCAATATTACAAAATAAAATTATTTCAACTTATAATACATCAACACACCTAAGTCCAAAATAATATTAGTATATTATAAAGAAAACATGATTACAAAGTAATGTAATTAGTATTTAAAGAATTAAAAAACAAACTGAAAAATTTCCGCCGAACCCACCTATGTGGCACCTAGGTCCGACTAGGCGCGCCTAGGCGCCCCCAAACCGCCTGGCCGCCGAGCCGATTTTTTCAGCCTATTTATGCAAATCGGAGGCGGCCGGGCACCGACTTTTAGAACAGAGCTATATCAGCTATATCATTTCGACTATTGTTCCTTTTGTTGATTGAACTGTAGTAAATTTAGTAATCTCCTGCTACTATAACATTAATCTTTACTTTCGGAAAGCATGAACGATACCCCAGTGGTTTCTGAACCAAAGTCAAAGAAGAAACCCAAAAAAGGCAAGTTTGGATCTTTGAAGAAGGTAGTTCTGGTTTCTAGATCTATCTCTCTTAAGGAAGAATCTTCAGTAGATACAATGTCCATAGACGATACTTTAATCCATGATGAGTTGATACATCCTCGGAATGCGTTATCCCTTCCTTGCCTCAGGAAAAGAGACATATACTGACTACTGAGAGGATGATAATGAGCCAAGGAGAAGGAAGCACACAAAGTTGAAAGCTTCAGAACTGGGTAACATTCTCATGTATCAAAAACCGTCTAGCAAAATTCCTCGATCGACTTGAATTCATTGACCTGTATCAAACAGAATATCAAATATCAGCCTTCACAAATGAAGCAGATTGTAGGATGAATTTTTTCTTTCAGTGAATGTAATAGGAACCAAAATAGATAGTACCAAGTGAGAAAATGAGTAAATGTGGGTCACAATGTAATACGTGATGCTGTTACCGTGCATCCCAATAAATCGGATGAAAATGTAGAACCTCATTGTATAGCTATCGTATACATACTATTTCAAACATGAAATAATTTTTGGACCAACATTTATGTTTGGTATTTCTATGGAGCTGGTAAAGTTTTCATGAACAAATACTTCACATTGTGGACCTAATCCTTTAGACATAGAGATAACTCTTCATGTAACTCTGGGATTATCAAAGCACTTCACTATTTTATTTACTTCCAGCAAATAGTTTGGAAAATGATACACAAATGCTATATTGATAAGTAAAATATATAATTATCGAGGAACCAACTGCAACATCATTGTGCTTGAGCATGAATATGAAAGTGACAAACAGAAATAAAGCTCACATGTTCATCAAGAACTTGCGCTATCTCCAGCAGCTGCATCATTAAAAAATTAAATAAATAATAATAATTAGGGTCACTACAAGTGAAATGATAAATAATCATACTCTATAGCAGAAAAAAAAATATATATATATATATATTGGAATCCATAAATAAAGGTACAGAACAGTGAATCAGTTTTTAGCAAAATACCTGTACTTTCCTTTCATAAGAGATTAAAGTACCACCTTTCACATCGGCAAGTGTTTTAGGGGTGACCTGTGAAGACACATGCTCTTAAGGTACAACATTTTGTTTCAAAGAAAACCAAAATCAGATGATCTATCTCTTGCCTCCATGCAATACTCATTCTTGTTTTTTATCACAATTCACAGACATAAAAGTTAAAAATAAAAAAGAACACAGTTTGTCACATACATGAGCTAGACGACAAGTATCAAGTATATAAGATAAAAAGAAAAACCAATTGCTGGTTGGAAAGGATACTCAAATCAACAACAGCACCCAAGTTATCTGAGGTGGCCACAAAGACATATTCTTTGCCCTGAAAGAAGAAAACACAATAAGAATTGATAACATGTCTCGTTTAGTAATGCTTGATTGAGAAAATGTACCAAATGTACCAATATAATTATATGAGATTAATAATACTACTAATATAATTTTTTAAGAGAAAATGTACCAAATGCTGATTTAAGATAGGAAATGGAAAAACACATCTTCACAAAATAATAGATAACATTACAGTTAAAAAATTCACTAAAACACCCCACGAAGGAATAGTTGAATATCACACAATACCATCCATCTTTGCTAGTGTTTCCTTTGGATGGAAGTGGCTTGAAATCTTCAACAACAAGACGAGTGTATTGGCTCTGGAAATTGCAACGAATTACAGATTAATGATGTCAAATGTTTTTGACTGGATTATGGAAGTGCTAATTTTATAATTGCCATGCACACACACTCATGCACAAACACAGAGCTACTCAAACCTGGTTAAATGTGTGAATGTCAATATTTGACTTGGCATACTTTTCAACAATCTGCAATTTGCAACCAGGGAAGAAAAATTAGCTGAATATTTTAGATGTTGAAATCAAGTCTAGTCTACAGAAATTACCTTTAATGTATCATCATGAGTGTAAAATGAGTTCATTAAAAGCAGCGGCACATTGCACCCGTACTTGGCATCGAGTGTCTGCAGATAAACGGATATTAACGTTGCATGGGCCTTTGGGTAAACCATAAAGGAGATAATTTAGAGCATGTAGTACCTCAATCTGAATTACGATTAAATCAAGAAACGTAAGACCATTACGAACTTCAACAACAGACCTGCATCATTAAAACATATATTAAGGGTAATATCAAAACAGCATAATTGGACACGCTTATGATTTATGAAATAAATATAATTACTCAAATCACTGTTTCCACTCAGATACTAGTTTAGCAGACTATCAGTGGATGGGATGACTCAAGTTCCAATACCCGGTAAATTCAAAATGATTAACAGGTCAAGTTGAATCCATTTATTTATGAATAGTAGGACAAGCCATATACAACTATTCCACATCAACAATAATGAAGAAGGCATGAGCACACGACTTCCTGCACTCACTTCTTCACTTCTGAGTAAAATGATCATGAGCTATAAAACAAGTTGGGTCTCAGGTAAATAAGCATTACCATAAAGGTTGACATTAATTCAGTTTAGGAGCTCAACAAATAATACTGCTACACAGAATACCACTAATAAATATATCGAGAAATGAAAATTTGAAAGAAAGAGAAACATTTTTCACTTAAAAAAATGTGCCATATTAAAATAAAAAATGCTCCCGAAAATATGACATATTCAAGTATTAATCAATTGACAATAGAGTTTTATGTGTTCCTTTGTTTGTCAATGTATTACAACTTTGGTAATTACTGCTGGTAATCAACGCCAAGGTCATCAACACCCTCTTACAAATATTGTTTATTTGTTTGTATTAACAGCCAGTATACACTTCTGAATGACATAAATACAAGACCAAGCAACAATTTATTAGTTAAAACGAAGCAAAACCATCAGATGAATCAAAATTAAGAGGTACGTAAATGAAAACACATTTTTTGGTCCAGTATAGCCCATTGTATTTCCCAAGCCTCCATTGAGCTTTAACACCACAAGTTTGTCCAGAAGCTTTTTGGTCTCAGCAGCATCTGCATTAAAATTAACATAATTAACGCCAAAATCACAGCACAGTATCTTAAGATGAAACTTAAATCAGACAATGACTTTTCAACACTCAAATTATTGATTAATTCATAAAGAAGCCAAAACAAGAATCTAAAATCGGTAAACAAAAAAATAAAAGATCAGAGATGCCACATTCAGGTACAGGGGCCAGGGTATCATAAGGCACCACAACCTCATCAGTTGATGTCTGGATCTTACTCCATTCTACATGCTGAACTTCTCCACTTCAAGTCCAACCACAAAACAATTCATAACTAATCTATTTTAAGAAAATAAAAAATTTATCGACAGGTTGCGGGTACAGCATGGAAACGGGACAAGTAGTTTTTGGTACCGGCCCATTGCTTCTGCCAAGTCGGTTTTGGGCCCATACATATAGGTCTGCCAACCCGCTGGATTGGATCTGGAACGGGCAGCCCAGGCTGTTTGGCCATGCCTAAATACACTATTAGTACTAGATGACTTTATAAGATGCACCCTCGGATTGCTCCATACCAAAACTTGATGATAATTATAAATATCATGCAGTCTACAAAAGAATTGGCAAAATGTGAAGAGTATTTACCAATTCTAATATGGTAATTTGATCTTCCCCCAACTTTAAAGGATAACACTTGAACTGTCTTTATAGTAATTGCTGAAATCACAGACTCATTGGATATTCAGATGTTCTTAATTACTGTTAAAAGAACTCATGGATACATTTCAGTTTGGCACTTCATTTCTCTTCAAATGGGTGGAGACAACATACTCTCAGAAAAGGAAAAAAAAAAAAATTACGGAAAACACATTGTTCTCAAAATAATCGAACCTAGACACTTTTTCTTCAATTGCTGAGCATCCTAAACTTTCAAATTCTCCTCCCCTTTAAAATCATTCTCTAATTCACCTCTTATATTCATGGACCTCAACAGAAGCAAAACAGTAAGTCTCATTTCCTTCTCCGCATCAATGCCTCGCAGACCCTAACAGCATCCCTATTATCCCTCACATTGTGCACCCTCACAATATTCGCACCCCCAAAAACCCCAGCCGCCACACAAGCCACGGTAGCAGCATCCCGCTGTGCCGCGTTTGGCTGGCTGCAAATCTCACCCAAGAACCTCTTCCTCGAAACCCCTAACAACACGGGCACACGTGACATGGCCAACCTCCTTTTCCCAATCTCACCCCTGATATCCTTCAACCTATTAACTATATCCAAATTCTGCTCCATATTTTTTGAGAATCCGATCCCAGGGTCCACAATCATCCTCCAGGCTGGCAGTCCGGATAACTCGGCCTCCCCAGCGAGCACGCACAGTTCGCGTGCCACGTCAACGCACACATCACTATAGGTCAGGTTCTCGCTGTTCTGCATTGTAGATGGGTCCCCTCGCATGTGCATGGCGACGTACGGAATTTTGAGGCCCGCCACCACTTTATGCATGTCGGAGTCTAATCTCCCGCCCGAGACGTCGTTCACGATATCAGCCCCATGTTTGGCTGCTTCCAAGGCGACTTCCGAGTAAAAGGTGTCGACTGATATCAGCTTTCCCTCAATTTCAGGCAAATCCCCGATGGCATCCAGAACCGGGATCAGACGACTCAGTTCCTGCTCAGGAGATAGCTTTTCTGCCATGGGCCGCGTGGATTGCGCGCCTATATCGATTATATCTGCACCGTCAGCCAAAATCGACCGA